AAATCAGTAGGTTTGACTAAAAAAAAAACGCACATGAAGCCACAATATTGTTGAACGAACCCCCCCTTCTGTTGCTAGAAAACGACCGAAACAGGTGGTCGTCAGAAAGACGTTGAATCATAAGAATATGGCCGGTGTAGCAGAACTTCCCAACCGAGCTCTTTAATCACATTTGTTCATGTTAGCCACGAGGAGGCGGGCATTGTCATGTTGAATAATTACCCTGTATTGCCGGTCAGGCCTTTTCATCTGAATTGCCTCCTTGAGCCTCTGTTCATTTGTTCAACATACAGCATAACACTGGCCATTTAGTTGTTTTGAAGCAATTCATCTTTGTACATAACACATATGCCGGAAACAGCTTTGTGACCTTTGATTTGAAGCAAAGAGAAGTTGTCGGGCATGCTCACCAGACACGCGCACAGACCGTAAAACTAACTTTGAAATGAGACATTGAAAAAATTGATTCCCTTCCATTCTGAACCCCTCACATACTGGAGCCATAAAATCATAAACTTGGGGACAAAAAAGGTTTTAAAACTTAAAAAAAATAAAATCACGTTATTGCAAAGGTTCCACAGGGGTAAAAAGGTTGAGAAACTCTGCTTTTGGCGAGGCAGTTAAAACTGTGGTTATCACGTGTTATAAAAAACAAGATTCTCTAAACCTCTGAAAATTAAGCCCCTTCAATTGAAGCCAAAAATGACTTGTGGCGCAACTTTGCAAAAAATGTAATTGTCTTTCGAGAATTTATCGGCTAATGTCGAAATGCATTCTGCAACGCATTGTAGATTTTGTAACGCTGGAATTCTAATTATTATTTCGTTTTATACGTAACAGAAATTTATGACATATATGCATATTCTGAAAAGTGAGTTTTCAACGCGCCTATCTATACTGATTGTGACGTTTAAATGATTTTTTAATAATCAAAAGGATAACGCAGTAAAATGAGATACAATTTACTCATTTGATGCGCTTTTATTTCCAGAAAAAAAACAAAAAAACTGCACTAACAACAAAAAATATATGTTCCGTTTGTGGGGATGGTGCCATAGCTGAAAGTATTGTTTGTGGGTCGTTCGAAATTCCCAAGGCAACGCTTTAATCCGTCCGTTAGAGAATTCGGAGTGGAGAAATAAAAACTGACATTTGTGAGTGGAGAAATTTAAATATTGTTTTTGAATTTCAATTAAAAAATGTTACGGACTTTTGTTATGATATTTTAACACTAGGATGGCCAGCTCTTTTGACATCTTTATTTATATTTACGCCGTAAAGCAGCTATCTCTAATATATTCAATATTCAAGTCAGGAATAACAAGTCTGAAAATAAATTCACAAATATTAGTATACCTCATACTGAAAGAAAGTGATTATATATATATATATATATATATATATATATATATATATATATATATATTATAAATTAATTGATTTAAAATATGTTTTTTTTTTCTACACAGTTCTAATTTCTGTAAATTTACATTGAGCACTATTTTCTAAAAATAAAAATATCTATAAGAACACTGGATTATATATCTTACGGTTCTTTCTTTCTTTATATATATATATATATATATATATAAATTATGATGTGTGTGTATAGATAGATAGATAAATAGAAAGATAGGGGACATAAACACAAGTATTATTGCTTGTGAGAAATGTTTCAATGCATTTACCCTATAAATAGCCTAGGTGTCAAAAACGTCACTTGTGTCATTCAAGGTAAAACCTCAAATATCAGCTATTCCACTGAATATTTTTTAAAGAATTAAGTCTGTTAAGCATATTTGCTAAAATTCAATAATTGTCCATAAGCCTCAGCATCGAACCAAAACTAGTTATTCCATAGAAATTTCTTGAAAATTTGAAGGTGTCGAAAACGACACCTCGGTCATCCTAGTGTTAAAAGCTAGGTTAGCTCGGTGCAAAAGGGATTAGATTATGCAGTTTGTGTATTAGTGCCAAATATCAATCGGACATTTGAATGCAAAAGAATTGAATATCTCAAGTGCATTTTGTTCCAACGGGGATTGGAGGACAAAAAAATATTCTTCGTAATAAAGAGAGAGAAAGAGAGATAGAGAGAGAGAGAGAGAGAGAGAGAGAGAGAGAGAGAGAGAGAACAAGGCTTTCTCTTGCAAGTGCCTCTTGTTTCCAAAGGTCATTAGAAATTTAAATTCAATTGTTTACTTGTTTACCGAGAGTCAAAGGTTTTATTGATCTAATTCTGTGCTCAATAAATTTAATTTTAATGAATATAACATTAATTCTATTCGGGTTTGAGCTGACTATTTTTTTTATGTTCGCGACAAAATTGGTCAGGGAAAATTTTTATTTTAGATGTCAAATTTGATTAGTAATACCAACCGAACTTTTGTCCATTTTTATTGATGACAACTTTGATGTCATCCTAAAGGTTGATAATTTTTACTAGGCCATGAAGAACCTTGAAAACCTAAGTTTTTAGTTCTTAACAGATTTTGGTAAAATAATGAATTTTATTTTTTACTGCAAGGTTCATTCGATAGGATGTCTTCGATATTTTTTTTATGTTTTAATTCTCTTAACTGTTTACTTTCTCTTTCATCTTACCATGTCTTCTAAAGTAAGCTACATATTTTTATTTGTATTTTTTATTTTTCTTTAAATTTCTGACATAAGCTTTGTTTCGAGGCAATAAATATATATATATATATATATATATATATATATATATATATATATATATATATAAAGAAAGAACAGACGGCATGCGTTTAACGGATGTCAGAATTCATTGAAAATACATCCCTACCCTTACCAAAACGTAACTAATAACTGATACATCAAAATACAGCGATAATGAACTCACAAACACCCCTTGTCTAAATGAATGGATTTCTCTGTATCCTTGGAAACGTGAATTAAGATTTTTTCTGTGCCTTTAAAACCTAGTAATAAATAAGTTACTCCAAAATTCGCTTGAGGATGAAATGGAACTAATGTCTTTAAATTAATTACAATATTAAATTCGAAGCTTTAGCTTCCATTTTTGAAACACGGTTAGAACTGTGTAGCGAAAAAACATATTTTAAATCAATTAATTTATAATATATATATATATATATATATATACAAACCTAGTGATCCAGGACCTACCTACATAGGTTTCATCTAAATGGATCTTCAGGATAAGTTGGTTTTTCCTGAAGATCCAGGTCGAATCAAATTTATAAATTTGAATCGATCTGGTTTGTCCTGCCTAAAAACAACAAACCGTATCGGCCAATCTAATGTACAACCCAATATAAAAATCTCAAAATTATAGAATAAATTCTCGGCTGGGTAAACTGACTACTACCAACCACTAATCCCTTAGCCTATTCTTTTCCTCTCTCACCTTCCCTCCCCGATACCAATCTAATGTGCCCCTTCTGGTGCATTTTCTCTACTTAACGAGGAAATTTCGATCTATCTTTTTATAGATACAATAACTGTTTATTATAAACAGATCATTTACTTCATTACTTGTATCTATAAAAAGAATGTATAAACATAAACATGTCTTAAAAATAACTGTCGGACTTTGTCCATTTCATAATGTGTGACGTCATTTGTTTACATTTGGATACGTCATGAGCAGATATAAATGTACGTGATTCATGGAAGATTGAAATTTAAAGACAGTAAAATCGACCTTGCTAAACGAACGCTCCTCTGTGGCCCACTCGGTTAAAGGCACGTCAGGCTATATGACGGTTCCGTATAGGATATAGGTTCGATTCCTGTCGGAGGACGAATATTTTCTATGAAAATTTTTCGGACATTCAGGCCGGTAAATGTTGTTTAATACTGTTTATTATAAACAGAGCCATTACTTAAATATTTGTATCTATAAAAAGAATGTATAAACATAAAAAAACTCTTAAAATAATTGTCGAACTTTGTCCATTTCATAATGTGTGACGTCATATATATATATATATATATATATATATATATATATATATATATATATGGAAATCTTTAATACGAGGATGATGATTTATTCCTAACACAAGGATACAAAAGTATTACTACGAATTTAAATTTAAGGAACCTTTCGGCCAACTCTTTTTCAGAAATAAATCATCCGCGGCATTAAGGCAAAATTGCTGAAAATATATTTTATTTCAACAACAAATTTAAAATAACACCAAAAATGGCGGAGGGGGAGAAAAAAAATTAATCGTTTTTTTTTGGCGTAGAATTAGTGACGGCTTCCTCAAAAAGTGCTAATTCATGTTTTAATTCTCTCTGCCTACACAGGGTCGGACGTTGTAATATTTGTCGCATTGAGCTGTTGGTGCTCGATCATAGAAAAGAACAGCAGCCAAGTTCGGTACATCTATTTTCGAACTTTTTTCTTTTGGGGTATGGTTTGTAATCAAAGCTTTCCTTCTCTTTAATGGGTTGCTCTTCCAGGCTAATGATAGAACGTCACTAATTTGGTTTTCGATGCATTGAATGCGTCCAGACAGTTTTTTCTTCTTCAGTGAGCTGTTCGAGCTAGCTCAGAGGAGAGATCATCTACCAGGCTATAATCGTTTATATTTTAGAGGTGCATCCATATACCAGTATCGCTAGTATACATAAGCAACAAAATACAAAATAAGCAACACGTTGAATTTGCATTGGAAAGCAGCAAATGTCGAGTTGCAATTTACTGACAGAAACAGTATTATTCTAATCACATGTTAAGCTGTGCAATACTTTATGTATGTCGGTTCTTGGAAAATGAACGAATCCACTCTCCGCTACTGGTAAAATTATAGAGTAGACTGCATGCCTAGCCTTGGATGGCAGTCAATCTAGAAGATATTTTAAATTCAAAAAACAATAGGAAAGCATTCCACTGGCTTCCCGAAGAATGCATGGCAATTCACAGATAATAAAGAAAAGGAAGATGTAGAGAGCCATAATCGTATAAGTTCTGAATGGATATCGCATTAAACGAATTAGCTAAAATATTAACCCTGATTAAAGAGAGAAAAGGAGATAGGTAGAGAGAAGAGAGAGAGAAAAGGCGAGTGAACAAAAGAGAAAGAAAGACAGAGAGAAAAGGCGGGTGAGAAAAAGAGGGAGAGAGAGAAAAAAGAAAGAGAAAGAGAGAGAAAAGAGAACGAGAGAAAGCGAGGGTGAGTGAGAATGAGAGAAAGAAAAAGAGGAAGAGAAAGGGAGAAAGAGAGAGAGGGAAAGAGAAAAGCGGGTGAGAAAGAGAGAGAGAGAGAAAAAGAAAGAGAAAGAGAAAGAGAGAGAGAAAAGAGAACGGAAAAATTTAAGAGAGAGAGAATGAGAGAAAAAAAAGAAGGAAGAGATTTTGGGAAAGAAAGAGGAAATGAAAAAGAGGAATTCAAGAAAAAGAAATTTAAAGAAAAGAGAAAGAAAGAAAAAAAAGAAAGAGACAAAAATTTCGTGAGAAAGAATGAAGAGAAAGAAAAGAGGAAGAGAAAGAAAGAAAGAGAGAGAGAAAAGGAAAAGAAAATGAGAAAAGAAAGAGATTTTCCTAAAAAGAAAAAAAAGAGAAAAAGAAAAAGAAACGAGAGAAAAAGAGAATGAGAGAGAATGAGAGAAAGTAAAAGAGGAAGAAAAAAAGAAAGGAAAAAAAGTTTCCAAAAAGAAAAGAGGGTGAGAAAAGAGAGAAAAAAAAAGAAAAAGATAAGAGAAAAAAGAGAGAAAGATTCTTTGAGAGAGAAGAGAATGAGAGAAAAAAAAAGAAGGAAAAGAATATGGAAAGAGAGAGAGGGAAAGAGAAAAAAATTTGAAAAAAAGAAAGAAAGAAAGAAAAAGAAAGAAAAAGAAAAAGAGAAAGAGAAAAGAGAAGAGAGAAAAAGAAAAGAAAAGAGAAAAGAAAAAGAAAAAGAAATGAAAGAGGAAGAGAAAAAAAGAAAGAAAAAGGAAAAGAAAAAAAGACTTTTAACAAAAAAGAGAAAAAAAAGAAAAGAGAAAAAAAAGGAGGAAAAAAAGAGAACGAAAGAAAGAAAGAGGACAGAAAAAAAAAGAGAAAGAAAGAGGAAGAGAATTCCAGAAAGGAAAAAAAAAAAGAATAAAAAAGAAAAAAAAAAAAAGAAAAAGAAGAGAGAAAGAGAAAAAGAGAAAGAAGAGAAAGAAGAGAGAAAGAAAAGAGAAGAGAAAAAGAAAAACTTTCAAATGGGGGTTTATTTCAAAAAAAGCTGAAAGTGAGAAAATAAGTAAAATTTCTCCAGGGATTATCTTTGCAATAAAAAAATTTTTTTGCGCACCTGTTCCCAAAAAAAAAAAATCTATTAAAAAGTTTCCAAAAATCCTTAAATTGAAAACATCATTTCATTATCTTTAAAAAGCAGAAATTATGATTAGATAGGAATTATTATTATTATTATTTTAGTTGTTAATGTTTCTTATTTTAATCTTATTTACTTTTACAAATATATTTTTGTTCTAGAGCAGAAAATTTTTGAAAAACGGAGTTCAATAAAAACTAGGCTATTGTAAACGAAAGCCGTATTCCTGGATAATAGACACTTAGAAAATAACTGAGATGATTGTAGACGAAGTTAGACTATGAGTATATTGATGTTGTGACCATAAAACTGGTTAAGAAATAACAAAAAAGAGAGAAAGAATAAATAGAGTATTGAACAGTAAATACAAAAGATATATGTTACAAATTTTTGAGAAAATAGGGGTGACCAGCGTTTCTAGAATATCATATTTTTAAGAATAAAGTATATGTGGCACAAGATAAAGTTTAACGTGGAACTGGATCCCGTAATGAAAAAAATTCAAAGTTAGAATATATATAAAACGTGTTCGGATATCTGAAAAAAACATTGGACGAAACTCTGCCCTTCGGCAAAGACTCGAAAAGGTTCCTCTTGCCCAAGGCAGAGAGTTCGAAAGTTCTATGAACAGCCTCAGTAGAACAGTCTAGATCACCGTTCAGAAGGAGAGAAAAACTTTTCCTTCTAAATTTATAAGTAAGTGGAAGAGTCCACAATAGCCTCATTAGAAGAAACACGACACAACAATTAGTTACGTAGCCATCTTTTGCTGCATTGAAGATCTCGTTAGAAACAAAGGAGATAGACTACCGAACTGTTATATACCAAGGAATGCTGGAAAATCTCAAAGATGAAGAACAGACCCAAGGCAGCAGAAATATAGTTCTACAGGAGGTTGTCAAGGATACCATGGACTGAAGAGGTAAGAAAGTTTAGGAGAAAATGGAAACAAAAACGGAAATTCAAACTTAACATCAGAACGGAACAATTTCTAGAGCACATAATGAAGAAAAAAAGGCTTGGAAAATTTAACACTCACAGGACTTACTAAAGACAGGTGGGGCAGCAGTAAACAGCTTAGCTTGTGTAAATTTTTGGCAGAAACGACAACTTAAAAAGAGGGGATTTCATAAAATTAAAGGAAAAAAAAAATTAGAGCTATGATAAATAATGACTTCCACAAAATATTTTAATTATTTGAGGGTGTTGTTTTGATTTTGTAATATTTTAGCAATATTGGGAACAAGAAACTATTTGCCGAGTTCGAATTCCAGTTGAGTTCTTTTCATTTACTTTCGAGCAAATACTCTTGGGAAAGGTATGAATATCTATTGATAGCACTTACTAAATAAACTCCCAACCCCTATTAGTAGACCTGTCTTGGGTATGACGATAAACTACATCCACGTCCTGAGTAAGACGATAAACTATGCTCAACAGCAAGGCCTCTGATCAGGAGAATTCAGAAAAGATGAGAAAAATAGAACCACCGCTTAATTGCTGATTTTCGCAGGTCCACCCTGTTAGGGTCCCAGCTATGGTCAAATAGTTGACCCCCCCCCAAACTGGTGTCAAAAAATTAAAGGGTAAAAATAGGCTTTAATACCTACAATATATTTTTCTCAAAAATTATTACCAGCAATACATTTTTGAAAATAAATTATTACACGCAATAAAAATCTTGTCGGCATTAAATAACCCATTGAGGTGTTGATATATTTTGTGTACAAATATTTAGTAGTCTGGAACAAAATGATTAATACTTAATTAATAATTAATTAATATTTAATAATAAAAGAAAAAAAGTTAAGGATTAAAAATGCTTTACAATACAAGGTAAGAATGGTAGTTAACAAATTTAAAAATAAATATTTGCAGGGTGCCAGTCTACTAGTATAAAAATAAATGCCGCTATAATATAATTAGTTAATCCCCATTTCAAAAAAATTCAGGAACATTTGTGTTTGTTCAAAAACGACAGAGCCCACTTTTTTAAAATTTTATTTTTCAACCACGGTTTAAAAAGAAAAAAGAACAGTTTCTGGGGAGAGCGTGAAAACAGTCTGAAAAAGGCTCAAACCTCGAAAAAAACGTAAACTTATTTGCTAGATCAATAATTATATTTCCGTCTAACCAGTTTCACACACAAAGGCTTGAATCAACCCGTGATATGGTTTTCAGGTATTTTCCAAAGGTGTCGTACTCGGGAATTGCCTCTTCCAGTCCGATAACATCAAGAAGTCGCCTTCCTGACAAATCGACCATGGTGAGATTCGAACTCGGGTCTCATGGTCAGAAAGCGAATGCCCATATAGCTATGACGATAAAGAAAGAAAAAGTTATATTACAGTGTAACCCGGATATAAGAGAGTTGTCGGGACCGGAGAAGAAGTCTTTATATCCGGGTTTTGGAAAATATCCGGCTTTTCTTATATCCGGGTTTGGTCTATTTTATATACATTAACAACGGCTCTAATTTGGGACCATAGAAAATCTCTTATATCCGGGTTTCTCTTATATTCGGGTCTCTTATAATATAAAAAAATTAAATAAAATATGGAATATTCCCATGATGCATTAGAACAAGCGCTTTAACGCCAAAAAGAAATAAAAATCAAAATTTTAACTTCGACCACCGAAGAAATCAGACTTTCGGGACAAATAATAATTTTCCAAGCGTAGCTTAGGTCTGGCACAAGGCTGAAAGTAGGGGTACTCAGTGAGAATAGAACTTTATCATTCGTATTGTTGTAATTATAGACAAGCTTAAATAACCATTACACCGCCTCGAGGTGCCCTGAAAGATTTTCCAAGCGCACTTTAGATATAAACAAGGCCGAAAGTATAGAAAACCCAGTGAGGATCGGTTCGTTTACTTTTCAGTCGTAACTGATCTAGCGAGACAATTTTTTTTAACCATTGCACCACGCCAAGGTACCCAACTTTCGGGACAAATATGTTGCCAGCTACGGATAAGCAAATATTTCTGTGCTCACCAAAATTATATACGTATATGTTCTTTGAATAATACAGTAATTTCTTTCAAATATAGAGCAAAGATATAAAACAAAGACTCACAATGAATGTACACTTTTGCAGTCCGTCACATGTACATAATACAAGTAATAAGAGAAAAACTTCAAGCACAATTAAAATACATTAACAACAAAGAAGTAGAGTCAACGGAAAAATTATTGATTACCTATCAGTTCATACTAAACTGCATAAAGCTGCTAAGAAAAGTACTAATTCGTCTTGAAACACCGGAATCTCGTCTTTAACGTCCGGGTTAACACAATAGTAATACATGTAATTGTAGCCGGTGTTTACCAACCTCCCCACAAGTCAGAATGTATCACAACAAATTTTTTAAGCGGTTTTTTGAGCCCGTAGGTCTCGGGCCAAAAAGGATCTGTAGAAATAATGCATACATGGGGTCGGGTTGGTCTATCTCCCCAGAAAAGACTCTGCCTGTAGTCATAACCCCGTCTGGTAATTGTACAACACATAACCACCCATTCCGTGTTATGATATCTCTCTTTATAGTAAATGGCGGTGTACATTTTCATTGTCTAGAGATTCACGTTCAAGCTCCGGTGTCAGCAGTGACACTTTTCATTTATATGGCATACACTAAAGAAAAGAAAAAAATTACTAGCGGAACACTTATTTATCTAATTCCAAATAACTTAATTAAATTAAGTTAAATACTTAAAAATGTTTCTGAATTATAACAAATTATCTCTGCCATTCAATGTTAACTTTTGAAAAATTACTTAACATATTTTGAAATGTATAATAAATCAATTTTTGGTTTTGCAGAAAAATGCCTATAAAACAGAGAAAATGTTTATGAATTGTATTTCATTTTACTTCATTATCTTTGTTTATATTACAATCCTCTGATGGTCGAGTGATCCTTTTTTCGATCGTAAAATTATAATTATATAAAAATAACTAAGGTTAGTAATGAACGATAATACTTAGGACAAGAACAACACGTATAAGATTCGCCAGCGGCGCGTAGAAGTAGTAGTCAACTGCTAGAAGTGAGACAAATGAATTTCACAATGAATCTCCAAATGCAAGATATCTACCAACCGCGACCAGATGTGGCACAAGGCCGAATTTAATGTGGGGTATCCGAGTCCGTAGGCTCATCCAAAAATTCCCCACTGACACTGTATAAAACGGGCTTGGGTAGCTGTTTCCCCGAGACGAGACTCTGCCCTTCGACATAGATTCGACTTGGGGATCCTCTCTGAGTTTGGAAATTTTTCTCCCCGGAATCGAATCTTCAAATATGCAAACCAACCATTCGTATTTGCTATTGGATTATTGAGACATATATATGGTCTGGGGCACCTTCTGTTTACCTCGGAGTTCTTGACAAGACCCAGAGACGGATATGTAATCTAATTGGCCCTGATCTGGCATCTCGTCTACAGTCGCTCTCTTACAGACGCGCCGTCGCCTCTCTCTGTCTTTTCTACAAATACTTTCATGGTAATTGCTCCGATGAGCTGCTTTCACTGGTTCCCAGACTCCATGAATTCAAGCGCCCTACGAGGCTGGCATCCCGCTCCCACCCTTACACTGTAGAACTTTTTAAATGTAGCCGTCTCTTCTACTCCAATAGCTTCATACCTCGCACCTCTCGCCTGTGGAACACCCTTCCCAATTACTGTTTCCCTGAGAGCTATAATCTCCAACTATTCAAATGTAATGTCAATCGACATCTCCAGTTACCTTGATCTACCCACTATCCTTCTCCTCATCCTTTCTTCTATCACTCCCTATCTGCTCTTGCTCCAAATCTTCTGCAACCCCCTGCAAGTGGCTTCCGCCTTGCTGCGTAATCCAATAAAATTTAGTGATAGCCAATCACCAAGCCCCACAACAAATCTCTTTCCCCCGACCCCAGCTATGGATTAAATAACAGAGCAGACAGAGTACATTTGCCTTGTTTGGCAAACAGTCTAGAAGAGAGACTACTATGATTTAAAGACATGGTCACTACTGAATTCATCTTGCCTATATAGATACATAATCCGTGAATTAGCATGACTTCTTGGGAAATATGGTAGAATGATTCTCCGTTGCCTCTGTTACTTTTTAAATTCGAAGTTTTCCTTTCTTCTTGAGTGGTTGCTATCCAAGGCTATAGAGGTCATTTTACTCAGTTGTAGAAGAAGTGATAAATTCATGCCGTTTCCAAAGGCATGCTTGTGAATTTGAACCTGGGCCGTCAAATCAGTTTCTCGTCCCTATAACGGCTACGCTAGCTTGGCTAAAACGAGAGGGCGGCCTACTTCATTTTAAAGCTTAAAAAATCGTTTCACCCCAAACAAGCGAGTAAAAATGAAAGAGAAGACTGACTATAGTGAGGATTTAGAAAGGACAAAAGATGAACGGGCTTCAAGAAGACAGAAGATGGCGGTTGATGTTGCACTTAAACTTTTGAAGCATTTGGTTATCAGGGAAGCAAGTAAACGGAAGGGAGTTCCACGGGCGGGAAGTGCGAGAAAAGAAACTTTTACAGTAGAAGTGGCGATTGCATTTAACTGTTTCAACAGGAAAAGGATGGGGCCTAGATGCTAATCTCGTAGTACGCTAAAGTTCATGCAGTTAGGGCACCAGGAAAAAAGGGTCGTCATAGGAGTGGCCATGAAAATATTTGTAGAAAAGACAGAGGGAAGCTGCGTCACGTCGGTAAGAAAGTGACTGAAATCGAGATGCCTGATCAGTATCGATTACATATGATATCCTTCTTCGGATTTTGTCAAGAATCTCGAGATGTACAGCAGGAACACCAGACCAGATATGGCAACATGTACGGACGAACTGTAGATTTATAAATGTGCAAGATGGATTCTGACGAAATTAGCACACGAAATCTTTGTTTATCTTTGAGTATTTGTTCACTATCGTAGGTATCTTTCCCTATCATTTATCATTCAATCATTTTATCAAAATTTGCCGATAATTTTATTCTGTTATCTTTTTCTTATTTATTGATTGTAAAATATTTAAGGTAAGATTTTTATAGTCGAAGACGTATTTTCAAATGATTTAGGAAAAACTTTTTAAGGAGTAACGTTATTTCGTTTTGTTTATTTGTTTTTTTACTATTGGTTCACAATAGTTAATTTCGCTCTCTATTATTTATCTTTCAAATATTTTTAACAAGGAGAATAATAAAAAATATTTTCATATATTTGATAATGATTTTATATTTTGAATTTCTTTCTTATTTATTGTTTTGTTTTTATTATTTTCATTAAAGTAACATTTGATGATGAAGTGTCTACTCTGACATCCAGTGTAAAATATGTGTGTCTATGTGTGTATGTTTCTATGTCCGTATTTCTGATGATCGTTCCTTGTGTAACACTATTTGGGTTGCTGGAAATTAATAACAATAAAAACTTGGAATATCAACGAAAATGAGATATTGATGAATAAACTACCATGGAAAGGGTTAAATGAATATCAGGAACGATAGACTGATAAAAATTGATTCCCAGAGTATCGAGGTTTATAAAATGAACCAGGTGACTGTCTGAGAGCAATACTTAGTTTGTACGACGGTCCAAGTGTTGACAGTTTTCGACAGACAACGCCTGTAAAATCGACATGAGGGGAATTGGATTAAATGCCAGTTACAAGTAAAATCTTTTTTCACGGATATCAACATTGAACACCTGCGAATATGTTGACCTTCGGCCGAACGAATTGTTCCCATAATGTGAGTTGAAAAATTTTCCCTGGGAAAGTGTCTCTTGGGTCAAAGGTGAGAAAGCCAATTTTTGTGTCAATTCACTTATGAGGTGATAGCATTTGGGACAATAATTTTGTTTTAATTAGTCTTCGACCGAATGTTGGAGGTGACAAGCGCAGAAGATCGGTAAAGTAAGGAAGAGGAGCTGCCTGCATCCGCTGAAGGGTAGCAGGTACAGACGAGACATTAAGAAGGTTGAAGGTGCTGCTCACGCCAACTAGAGAGCACTGGTGGTAGATGGTAATAAGAGAAAGTAGAAGTAACCAGGCGAAGCAATGCCTGCACCCATTTCCCATGAGAGAAGGGGAATTCCTCAAAATTATGAAGTAATTTAATTTCTCAGGACCAAACACAATAAAAATGACAGGTGGATGAAATACCTATTCCTCCCCTCCCCACTACATCTCACCCCTACACCAATTTTGTTTTGGCAGACAACAATGGACTCTTGTTGGAAATCAGGGATCATCGAAACCAAACTACATCTTGTTTCGCATCGGTTTTTAGTTGGAGTCCATAAGTACGAATGCACGAAGCGAATTCAGAGAGTTGAGAGTCTGGTTTTGAAAATTGACAAAAGACAGAAAGAAAGTGGCGGAAGTGTCTAGGAGATTCCACGACTCCTGCCGATCATGAGAACCTCCGATTTCAGCCTTGAGCCAAACTTGCCAAATCAGCAAAACAAGTTTCGCTGAATCCGCAAGCCAAAATTTAACAGCTTACCCAAGTGTTGCGTCCGATTTAGCAACGGGTTGGTTCGACAAACACCTGTAGACTAACACAACTACTAACGAACCATTGTACGCAGTAGTCTATATAAATATAGTAAATATTTTGTTATATATTTCGAGTGATGTTTTCAGTCTCCTAATTTACTGTAACACTTCACTCTACCTAGACCAGCCCAACACGAAGATAGCTACGACCAATCGATCTTGGCCTCCTGATAATCAATCAATCACAACGTGAGGTAGGGGAGGTCAGGTAAGGATCGAAGAGATAACACCATTGATCAAACCAGGATTCAACCTGGGCTGACTACGACGAAGGTGTTAGCCTTGTAGTCGTGGAGGGGCTTGCTTGGTTCAATGATTCTGAGAATGATGCCAACGGGATTTCTAAACTCCTGGTAGGGCCACCCATGGCGTCAAGGTCGAAGACGAAAACTCAGATTAAGGACCACTAAATCAGAAAACCCCAACGGTGGAACAAGTGGATGATGATTACAACAGATCTCAACGGTTGAAGTTGCGGATGAAGAGGGCTACGCTTGAAGGACATGCTACAGCAGGCGCCATTCAAAATTATAACAGAATCAGCGACAGTTTCATAACTGTAATTCTGCATATCTTATTCCATAGGAACCGCAGAAGAAGATCATGAAATCAAGTACGGGTCACTTGCTGGCAAGTTGAGGTACACGGGAGACGGTTTGGGTGAAATAGGAAATTTCTAGTACTGAGCCTGCACGCTGGAGGTTAATATAGTGATGAGCACCATCTTCACATGGGAAGCGATCAGCAAAGAAGAAATTAAATTCTTGGATATGAGTTAAGCCGACGACGAAATCTTCGATTTCACGTAGGTTTGAAAAATAAACCTAGGTTAAAACTCAAAATTCTTTTTATATTTGACGTTGTATATGTTTAATTTTTTTCTACGAGAAAGGTGTAAGTTTTTGATAATGCACTTTCAGGGGGTCGGGTCTCTGGTCATTCAGTACTGTAGTGAAAGTTGTATTCAAGCTGGGAATGCGTGGTAGGAATGAAAACCGTCCAGGGCAAAGTTATTAGTCACTAAAATAAAATCCATTAATTTCTTATGAAGATATTTCGCTTACATTTCGGATACAAAAATAAAGTTAGCAGATATGGACTTCGGAAGATCTTAACGAGAGATGAGTTTTCCTTCATAAGGGTGATTCAATCTCGCTTCGCCACGCGAATCTTTTGTAACTGACTGGTGTAAACGGACACCGGCTTTTACGATGGTTTCCCCTATAAAAACTGGACATAGATCTGAGCCATTCGACTGTAAATCCAAGTCGGTAGATGACAATTTAAATTTAGATAGGAATCCACTGAATATAATATTTATAGCAATATATATATATATATATATATATATATATATATATATATATATATATATATATATATATATATTCATGGACAATCTTCTTAGTATCCGTATTAAAAGACGAAAGAAAATTACCACGTAGATATGAACACAACAATTTTGTCTTAGGAAAATGAATACAGCAATTTTTTGTTTTAGAAAAGACAACACCCTGACGATGACATTTGGCTTATGTTGAAAGTACCCAGAATAAATGAATATGTATAAACATGGTAATTTTGTCCCTTTCTTTAATAAGGATACTAAGAAGCTTGTCCATGCATATGAGGGGATCCTATTGAAAATAAGTAGATAAAACTTGTCTAAATTATTCATTGAGACATGTCTTAATGAAAACGTGCTGCAAAATATACAAATTCTTTTTATCTATCTATCTATCTATCTATCTATCTATCTATCTATATATATATATATATATATATATATATACGATGAAGAAGGCTTCGGAAGTAAATCCTGATGACAAATCCGGGGCCGTGGTCCATAAGACAGCACGATGTTATGGTTAACTTCGTTCTGTCAACTCATGCAATGAGCTGTATTGGATTTTCCTTTGAACTACATGCTGCATGGACAACTGCCGATCTCTCATAAGACCCTGCACATGCCTGCGTCATGGAGAGGACACTCCAGCGTCGCCTCACCGCCACGGTAAAACACGGAAAGCAACAGTCTATTGATCGGAGGATTCCGAAGTTCCCCCTACAGAAGGAGGGCAAGAAGGCGACGTTGTCTTCGCTTTAAGGACTACAAAAGAGACACAATGGTGATGGACATGAAAATCGAGATATGGGAAGACGTCGCCAACGATCACTCACGCTGGAGAGCAAGGAGAGAAGAAACGTAGGTTTGCCGCCGGGATGACGCGTGCTCGAAGGAAGCGTCATCAGGGAGAGAGCGTCTTCACATGCATTCGTTGCAATCGAGACTGTCACTTCCGTGTGGGCCTGTACAGCCATTGCAGATGCTGCACTTGAATAGTGAGTTTGATTCGCACTAGGTGACCAATATTTTTTGCCTTGTGCTGCAACTACGACCCGCTTAATAAATAAATATATAGATATTAAGCGTCATAAAAACATATTACTCTATCTCCTGTTGGCAAGAAATATATTCTTAACTCGATGTGGAATAGAAGAATACAACTCAAATATTGTTTATTCTGGAACGTTGTGTCAGCCATTTTGATAGTAAAGTCACAGATCCTTTATTCACAGCTATTTGGCTCTCTTCGAAACACCCATGTTTTCAACTCTCCAAATAGATTCAATTACGTCATGATCAGGGCTTTGGGCAGTCATTTGATGTTAAAATCAGGGCTCGTAACAGCGATAGTCATTAAGACCACTATCGTAAGGGAAGCGATCAGCAAAGAAGAAATTAAATTCTTGGAAATGAGTTAAGCCGACGACGAAATCTTCGATTTCACGTAGGTTTAAATTCAATATAAATGTCTTCCTGTTATTAGACAAGAAATGCCGCCTCTAAGAAACGTCTCAAAACAGTACAAGATGATATTTGTCTCATGCCGAGATCTGCGCATCTTGGTTTGCGCACAGCGGAAGTTGACGTTTTTAGATCACTCATTCCAGTTTCTGAAGATTGAAAAATTCATCTAGAAATAACATAACCTTTCAATTGCACCAGCATACCCAACACGAGGATGCTTAGAGTCATATTTTGCTGTATCGTGGAAAGGATGCATCGCAGAAAATGATCTCTACGGATTAGAAGACTTTACCTGATTGTGCATATTAAGAGGAAGAAAAAGCTGTTAAGAAAATTACTCTTGTGGAAGCCGAAACATAGAAAACGGAAGAGACTGACTAAAACATGCGGGTTAGCTAAGAAACGATACAGGGTGAAGAACTAAATATCTGGGGATAGAGAAGAACTAGTTGAAAGCTTTGGAGATTGTTCGAAATAGAAAATCTTTATGTGTATAGATGTTTACCACAGAGTGGTCAAATTGTTATAAAGTTCGTATAACGTTTACAGTTGCTTGTTAGTAAGACTAAAGAAAACACTTGGAAGAAATGGTTGAGTGAGGAAGGGTTTAAATGACATGAGATTATATATCAAGAATACATAAGTTCAGTGTGATAAGCTGAAAAACGCTACTACATTGCGACCCACATTTTGAACCTTCTCTACATTTATTACTGAAACGTGGACTTGTACATCCGCTATAAGTCGAACATCGGCTAATGGAATACCATTACATGTTCCACGTTTCAGTAATAAATGTAGAGAAGGTTTTTTTCAACCTTTCTACACAACACAAATACGTCAGATTTATTTCTTTGTCCGATTTCCAGCATCACTATGTATTCAGCTGTATAGAAATGTGAATGCGACTTGTACTTCAGTTCTAAACACAAATACTTCTGAAAATACATTATAAATCACTTGCAGCTTATTAGTAAAAGAAACAAACAAAAAAAAAAAAAAAAAACGATATGTATAGATAAATTGATATTCTGAGTTAAGTGTCTCAATTCTTTAACTTGTCGCTGCATATCTAACTGAAATTCTCACCGGAAAGAAAAGAGCAGACGTAATATTTTCAAGCAAATTAAAAAAAAAATCGCTTGACAGAAACAAATAAAAATATCTAAAAACGAAAGAGAATTTAAGTGAAATTCAAGATAAATGTCTTCTTGTTATTAGACAAGAAATGCAGCCTCTAAGAAATGGCTCAAACAGTACACGATGATATTTGTCTCACGCTGAGGTCTGCGCATCTTGGTTTGCGCACAACGGAAGTTGACGTTATTAAAACACTCAATCATGGCTTTACGTACTCTTAATATTCAAAGAATGCCGGCGTTGGTGAATTATGAGAGAATATCAGTGAGAGGTCACACCGCGAATTTTACTTAGTGCATATTGGTAAAAGAAAACAATTGTTGGGAGCACACTCAGGATAGAACTACTGAAAGATATGGGGAAGAATATTTTTTTTTACTCATTTCACGCGAAGCAAGACAATAAAATTACCGAGAGTGAAAAAAAAATATGAGAAAAAGAAAACATTAAGAAGAGAGA